CAGGATGGTTTTTAAAATAACAAATCTCTTGGGCTGGGGATTTAGCTCAGTGTTGCTGCTGCCTGCCTCTCAAGGTCCCGAGTTCAATCCCTGATACCAAAAGCCAAAAACCAAATCTCTTATGAGAACTGACTGGGGTCCTAGGAGAGCTCTGAAGCCCTTGGGCCCTGTCTTGGAACATGACCACCCTGGGGACCAGGCATCCGTGTGCCAACCTTTGAGGGACACATTGAGCTGTAGCATCTCCCCGCCATCCCACTCCAGGAATTAAGGGGTGATGGAAGATCTGGCCCTGCAGTTAAAGAAGGATGAGAGGTATGGGGCGGGGGGGGGGCAGTGGTGGTGGTTAGGGCCCCAGCATTTCAGGAAGTCACTTCCGGTTCCAGCCACTGTCCTTGGCTTGACCCAACACTTAGTAACTCCAACAAGACATCAGGATTTTTCCTTTTCTTTTTGATGTTTTTGAGCAAGGGTCTCACTAAGTTGCCCAGGCGAGCCTTGCACTCGGGGTGATCCTCCTGCCTCAGCCTCCTCAGTGCTAGGATTACAGGTGCACACATCACCACGCCAGGCTGGACTTCATAATTTTTCTTGACAACCACTGGATGTTGTACTTGGGTTAGGACAAGATGAGCCTTAATCCCTATGACATAGGCGAGTCTAGGCAGCTATTTTTATTCTTTCCTACAGCATATGTAAAATGCAATGTTATTTTTAAAAGTGTACATATTTATATTTAAACAGCACATCTACTGTGCAGTAGGAAAGGACAGAACAAGTTAGATTTTCCAGACTAGGTAAATACAGTGTTACATGCATGAATTTCCTCTAAATGCTTTCGTGCTTTTTTTTTTCTTTTCTGCCTGACCTCTTCATTATTCTCTGTAGTTTTAGAAAATATATCTTTTAAAAATTTTCCAAATATGGATGAATCCAAACTGGGCATGGTGGTGGTCGCCTATAATCTCAGCACTCAGGAGGCTGAGGCAGGAGGATTACCATGAGTTTGAGGTCAGCCTGGGCTACACAGTGAGTCCAAGACCAGACTAAACTACATGGCAAGACTCTGTCTCAAACAAAACAAATAAAAAATACAGTGTACTCTGTCACTAAGCTAGGACGTTGAGTAAGTTAGGGGTATTAAATGCCTTTTCCACTTATTTTCAGATTCCTACGGCTTTATCGGGATGTGGCCCCTCCCCAGCCGAGGAGCCTGGACCCAGACACTTGGCCCAGTGTGTGTCCCACCTGGGGCCCTCTCACACCCGCTGCTGCCCTCGGGCCTGTGGCGGCAGCGGCTCCCGGCTCCCGCGCTGTCCTGGGCGAAGGTGGAAGGTCCCACCCCGCAGCTCCGGGCGCGGTCCAGGCTCCTGGCATCTCCTCAGGGCCCTCGGGACAGAGGCCAGCTGTCTGTCACCTGCAGGGGCCCTCGCCGCCCCGGCATCCAGCTTTCCGGCCTCGTGTCCGGGCCTGCAGGTGCTGAGTGCTTTCCCGCAGCGCTGTGGCCTGCTGGGTGCTCGGGCTGGACCTCAGGGCCTCGCATTCCGCAAGGGCCAGGCCCTACTGGGGTAAGGCTCGGGACAGGGTTCCGCCCTCCTTCAACTCCCCCTCGGCGGGGGCGGGTCTATGTCTGCTTCACGTCTCCCTCTCTTAGAAGAATCCATCCGCGAACAGCCGCCGTTCTGTCTTTCCCGCACTCAGGAGACTGAGGAGGGAGAATCGCAAGTTCTAGCCAGTCTGGGTGATTTAGAGAGACCCTTGTCTCAAAGTAAAAGTAAAATAAAAGCCTGGGGATTAGGTCCGGGTGAAGGCCCTGGGTTCAATCCTAGTGCCCCAAGATAAGCGCACATGTGCACACACACATACACTCGTGTGCGCACACTCACTCCCGGAGGAGAGTGTCTGTCGCGGCAGGCACTGGCCCGGGTCCCGTGGGAATGGGGCTGAGGATCCAGGGCCACTGGGTCAGGAGAGGGATGGCCGAGCCCGGCGTTTCCGCCGCTGTGAACTGGGGAGGTTTCGGGCCCTTTGAGGTCTGAGTCCTTACAGCTGCGATGCGCCAGCTGTGTGGAGGTGCAAGAAGTGTTCAGAGAGAAGCAGCCAGCGCGGGGCCCTGGGCCCGGTCAGGCGTGGACTCGGCCTCCGGGCCTGTGCAGGTGGCCCGGGTGGGTCTTTCTGTCTTTTATTTTTTCTGGTGGTACAGAGGACTGAATCCAGAGCCTTTGCCCTGAGCCGCATCCCCAGGCCTTTTACATTTTGAGACTGGTTTAAATCGCTAAATTGCCCAGGCTGGGCTAGAACCTGTGATCTTCCTGCCTCAGCCTCCTGGAGATCAAGGAGATCATAGGCCTGCACCTCCACGCCCTGAGGAGCAGGTCTTTGGAACCGCTCACTTAGAGGCCATGGTGTTCTCCAGGCACGGACTGCGTGGATCATTTTCAAACAGAAACTGGGTGTGGGGGTGCACACCTATAATGCCAGCACCTGGAGGCTGAGGCAGGAGGATCGCTGTGAGTTTGAGGCCATTCCTGGCGTGAGAACAGAGGGGTAGTGAAGAAGAGAGGGTGGAGCTTTTCCTGTCCTCAGGAGGGACAGCCTGCTGGTCTGGAGAGGCTCCTGCTGACCAGGACTTTTCTTTTTCCCAGGTACTGAGGATTGAACCCAGGGCCTTTGCTTTGAGCTACACCTTTGAGACCTGGTCTCATTTAGTTGCTAAGTTACCCAGGCTAGAGTTGAACTTGTGACCTCCCTGCCTTCTCTATATTGGGACTATGAGTGCATTGCTGTGCCCAGATGTCTGGGCGTGTGTGTGTGTGTGTGTGTGTGTGTGTTTTGAGACAGCATCTCTATGAGATCCTCCTGCCTCAGCCTCCAAGTGCTGGGATGACAGGTGTGTGTCACCGCGCCCAGCAGAAGTGAAGTTCTCCAAGGTTTACAGGACTCTTCGGTCACCTAGAATCTGGCCCTGTGATTCTGTTGATTGACTCCAGAACACTCTGGATTGCTTCTTCTCAGGTCAAACTGCTTGGGGAATTTTGCAAAAATTCCAGAACAAGTCGCTTCAGTTTACCTGAAGCGATTTTTGAGAAATGAGTGACTAAGAGAGGTCCGTGTGCCCTGCCCCACTTCTGCTTCTGTGGGGCAGCTGTGGGGCAGGTGCAGACCTCGGAGCTAACGAAGCACTCCGGCTGGTCCTTAGAGGGCGCCTGGTTTAACGCATGAGCATCAAGCCCAGGTGGTGGAGCACACCTGTCATCCCAGCACCAGGAGGCGAGGCGGGGAGAATCACCATGAGTTTGAGGCCAGCCTGAACTACACGGTGAGACTCTGCCTCTGCAACAGAATAGAACAATTTGTTTTGTCCAGTTCCCTCCATGAATTTCCCCTGGAATTTGGTTACATCATTCCTACAACAGCATGGGCCAAGCAGGGGGAGGCTTACGTCCTGACCCCGCCCTTGAGGGCAAGGTCTGCTTCTTAATCTCTTTCCTTGAGGACAGATTTTTTTTTTCTTTTATACTCGGGATTGAACCCTGGGCCTTTGCACCCAGCTGCAACCCCAGCTATTTTTAAAAATTTTTATTTCGAAACAGGGTCTTGTTAAGTAGCCCAGGCTGGACTCAAACCTTCAATCCTCCTGCCTCAGCCTCCCAGAATGCTTGGATTCCAGGCATTCAGTTTTCTACATCTTTAAAAATAAATACATTTCTTCTAATTTTAAAAAGGCCTGACTCAGAACTGTAACTGAGCTAGCACTAGATTTTTTTTTAAGGAGCCGAAAGTAAACTATTCAACTAAATGAACAAACTGTTTTATATGTGTGTGTGTGTGTGTGTGATATCATAAATTAAAAACAATTCATCAAAACTGAGCAGTCTTACACATAAAACAATTTCTCAAAATGCTATTGACTTAAAGACGAGCCTGAAAGCATTTGAACCTTTTAAAATTATATTATTCCCTCATCAGTGGGCTGAGCGGGTCCCACGTGCCTTTCCCACTTCCGTCCAGCGCCCTCCCGTTAGGCCCTCGGATCGAAGCCCTGAGCGCCGCCTTCTCCTCCCTGGGTAAGTGCAGCTCCAGCCCAGCACGTCGCCCGCCCGCGCGTTCCCGTGAATTCCGGGCCCTCTCCCGCAGCCCCGGGGAACCGGCCCCGCCCCTCGCGCTTTGCCCGGACCCAGAGTTGTAAGAAAGAAGAGAAAGCGGGGCCTCCCTCGCGGCCCGGCCGTCGGTGCGCCGAGCCCGGAAGGGCCTGGCTCCCGCGGGTCCTCGCCGGTAAATCCCGCTCGCGAGGGAGATTCCCGGGGAATCCAGGCGCCGAGGTGGCTTCAGCGCGAGGAAGAGCGAACCCCCACGGGACCGGGGTTTCGGAAAGGAGCCCGGGCCGGGCCGAGTCTTCACCCGAGCCCCCGCCCCCACCGGGACCCGGGACCGCGGCTCCGTGGGGCCCCAGGTCCGTCCACACCGCCCACCCGTGGGCCCCGACCCTCGGCCGCGCCCGGCCCTCAACGTCCCCGCCGCTTCATCACCTTTGGGCCCGAGGGCGGCGCAGGCTGGGACCCGGCGGGAACCGAGGGCATCGGTGGGTCGCGGACAGGGGGCCGTGGGGGCCCGGTGTCGCTCTGACCGCGGCTCGGCCGTCTGCACCTCAGGCAGGAGTGCGGGCTCCCGGGCACCGCCCTGGCCGCGTGCTGCGCCTTCTGCCCTCGGAGTTTTCCGACCACCTCCTCACCACGGGTCTTTATTTAATCCGTTAATTTTTTGGAGGCAGAATCTCACTATGTAGCCCAGGCTGGCCTCGAGCTCCCGGCGATCCTCCTGCTTCAGCCTCCCAAGGCTGGAGTTTCAGCCATTCGCACCAGGCCCGGTCTCTCTTAGGCCTCTGGGTCCCCCCCGCGCCCCTCTCCCGGCGGGGAGCGAGGTCCCCCGGGCTGCCGCCGTCTCCACAGTCCCCGCCCCGCCCGAGGCCCCGCCCCGCGCAGTCCCGCCCCTCCCGGGCGCAGCCGCGGGCGGACTCTGCCGGGCTGGGGACGCGGACCCGGCAGAGCGCAGTGCCCCGGCCGGACCCGCGATGGTGCTGCTGGCGGCGCCCGGGCCCTCGGAGGGCGGCGGGGCGCGCTGCCTGTCCTCGTCCGCGTCCCCGCCCTGGGATGCGCCGGTGGCAGAAGACCCTGCGGACCACGAGGAGGACTTCGAGGACTTCTGCCGGCCCGATGCCCGCAGCGTGGCCGCGGACGACGCCTTCTACCCACCGGGGCGCGGCGAGCAGCGGGGCGCAGCCGTCCCCGAGGGCGCCCCCGAGCCCGTCCCGGTGCCCGCGGGCGCCACCCTGCTGCGCGCCGCCGGCGCCAACGACGCGGGGCTGCTGCGAGCGCTGCTGCGGCGGGGGCTGAGCGCCGAGGACGCGCGGGAGGCCGACCGCCACGGCCGGGTAAGGCCCGCGACCCTCGGGCGCCCCGCTCCTCGCCGCGCCCAGGCCGGCGGCCCCTCGGCTGTGAGGACCCGGGGCCGGGGCGAGGTCGCGCTTCTCACGGTCCGGCCGGCCGGGACCCCGCGGCTGGGACGGCGCCGGCGCGCGGGTGGCTGAGCGCGTGGGACCCGGAGGAGCTCGCGTGGGGCCCCGGGGTCCCGGCCCCCTTCTGAGCTGCACTTTCGGTTTCGCGAGTGCTGTGGGCCCGGGGTCCCCAGCAGAGACTCCCGAAGCGGGGAACCCGAGCGGCCGGGGCCGGGCCGTCCCCCCACCCCGAGGGCTCAGCTCGGGACGCGGCCCTCGAGGGCGAAGTGTGCCAGCGCCTCCCTCGGCCCGTGCCTCAGTTGCCCTGCCTGGAAAGCGGGGGCCGTGACGGGCTGTGGGCAGCTGCTGCCCCGCACCGCGCTTGAGGGGCCCGGCACAGGGCGCCTGGCACCGCGGAGGCCCCTGCCGCGTCCGCACCCCGGCCTGGAGGACCGCGGCCCGTTCTTCCCTGGCCGGCTCCGCGCTGTAGGCCACCCAGCCTCCTCCTGCTGCCTGGAGGCTGCATAGCTCGTGTGGCCGGCTTGGGGCGAGGCCACGTGGGGGGCGCGCGCGTCATCCGGGCACTCTCCGAAGGCTGAGGCAGGAGGATCCCATGTTCAAGCCCAGTCTGGGCATTTTATTTTTTAAAATTTCACACGTTAATGTATTTTCTATCGAGCACACACTCCTGGAACCCCTCTTGGCAGTAACTGTCACATCCTCGTAAAAGGGGTCCAGTATGTAAGATGCCTCTTAAATACTACTTTTGATAAAATAATGAAACTTTAGATATGTGTTCTTTACCCTACTCGGTATGTTGAGAATGAAGAGTTTTACTGTGACTGTGCAACACGCGTGAGGTACAAAGGGAACAACGAGACTCTTAGAATAAAGGCAAAACACGGTAGAAACGCACTCACCGGTCACTTCTCCTGATCACAGTGTCTGACACTGTATGTTGTGTGTTGTGTGTTATGCGTTGTGCCAGTCTGGCCGCTTCAGTGACCCGCCCCCCCATCTGGAAATCAGTGGATGAATGATGAGTAAAGGCTGGGAGGAAGGAAGCTCAGTAGGAAGGTCCTGGGTTCAAACCCCAGTTCCACAAGAACCGCCTCTTTTTAATTTTATTCCTTTTGCATGTTTTGGTGTTTTGAGACAGGGTCTTGTTCTGTAGCCCAGGCTGGCCTTGAACTCACAGTGCTCTTCCTGCTTCAGCCTCCCAAGCGCTGGGATTACAGGCGTGCGCCATTGTACTCGGCTTCTGGTATTATAAACAGCTAAACTAGTTAAAGAATATTCTAAGGCAGTTAGGCCAGGATGGGCCCTCTCAGCACTGAAGATCGTTGTGGCCTCAGGCCAGGCGGTGGCTGAGATTCAAAAAAGAAAAACCACACCCGCATTCTTCCCCTAGGGGTGGACTGCAGTGACCAAGAATCTAAAGAGGCAGCAGTCACCTTGGGTGGGGTCAAAACCCCCTCAGGCCGCTCCTTCTGGGAAAGTCCTTAGGGGCTCCCTGCCTGCTGGCTTCCCGACTTGCTTCCCCGTTTGATCCCATGTAATCTGTATCACCTAAGCGGCTATACTTGCTGTAATCTTATTGGTTGATGCACAGTTTTGTCCCACCTCACACCTACTTTGTGACTTCCCATTGGCCCAATGTTACCTAAGCAACAATACTTGTAACCTCGTTGACTATAGTTTTGTCTCACTTTGTACCCGCCTCTCACCTCATGGCTTTGCTCAATAAAACACCCTGAGGAGTGGGGTGGGTGGGCCGCCCACTTTCCTGTCTGCCTTCTGCCTCTCTTAGACAGCTGTCTTTCTCAATAAAGTCTTCCTGCTCTTAACCCCCGTTGTTCCTAGAATCATTCTTTGATTTTAGGGAACACAAGCTTAGGATTTCAGGTATATAGCAGGTTGGGAGTTGCAATGTTTCCCTATGTTATTTGGATCATTTGGAGGTCCCATGCACCGGTACCACAGGGACACACGGTGCTACTCCAGCTTCACCTTGAGGCTGTGGCGGCTTAGCAGATGGAAGCAGAGAGAAAGGCAGTGCAGTGTTGCGGAATCGTGCAGAAGGGCAGTGAAGGCCCAATTGGACCGAGTTGGAAACTGCTCCATTGCGCGGTGAAGCCCTTCCTGGCCAGGGTGGGTCCCTGAGATGTACACTTGAGATTTATATGTCCCCAGCTGCGGACTGAACTTTCTCAAAAACTACTTGAAAAATTTGAGTGTTCTTTGTTTGTTTGTTTGAATGAATGCTACAGAAAGCTCTGTGAGCTTTGGACGGGCCTTTCCAGGGACGAGGAGCTGTTATTGGGGTTCACACTTACCCTGTACCCTTGCCCACCCGCAGTCCAGGGCCCGAACACCTGCAATCCCATTATTTGGAAGGCTGAGGCAGGAGGATCACCGCAAGTTCAAGGCCAGCCTGAGACCCTGTTTCAACCCCCCCTCCCCAAAATACTGAGAAGCGTGGGAAAGGGGTGAGAAGGATGAAGGGAGCCCGAACGAGGCTGGAGCCTGGGGCTGGGACAGGAGCAAGTCAGGTGGCTGGGAGCCGCTGGTGGTGGCGGAAGGACAGATGGGACCCAGCCACTGCCTCGGGGCTCTGGAGGACCCCGTGTCCATGAGGAGCTTGGGCGGCCCTGTCCCTGTCCCCAAAGGGCACCTCCCAGGGCGTTGCTCCTGCCTTCAGCCCTGGCCTCTGCCGGTGGCCAAGCTGAAGGCCCGGCGGCCCCTGTGCATCAGGCTGGCATGGCCAAAGGAAAACCACCCCATTTTCTTTCTTCCTGGGTCTGCGACCCTAACTTGTGTTTTTACCGAAAATTGCCCCGTTTCTTCTGTTTTACAATTTAATATTATAAAGTTGTCATGGAATTCTCTTTTTATTTATTTTTCTCAGTCCTGATGATTAAACCCAGGCTCACACAGCCCCTGAACTGCAGCCCCAGCCCTTAAAAACAATCTTTACTTTGATACAAAGCTCCACTAAGTAGCCGAGGTGGGTCTGGACTTGGACTTGCAGCCTTCCTGCCTCAGCCTCCTGAGTGCTATGGCAGGATTATCTTCTTGCGGGGCTTCTGAAGATGGGGAGCCCCTGCTGAGAGGGCACCTGTGGGAGTTGGGGATTAGGTTTCAGCAAGTGAATACATTTCTCTAAAACCTCAGTTACTTAACACACAGAGGAAGCTATGGTGAATTTGTTTTTAATAGAAATAATCATTCTTCACTTGCCTTGGGTATAAGCAAATCTGAATCCTTTGGGTTTGTTTGAAGTGAGGCACAAGTGTGTTGAGTTAGTTGAAAAACCCCAGAAGCAATCTTATTTGTTAAAGGTAATGACCTAACAATGAGTTCGGGAACAATTTTACTTGGTCCTCATGACTTTTATCTTGACAGTTATTCTTATCTTTTTATTCTCTACTTTTAATTCAGTGGGGAGACATCTGGAAATAATTAAACACTTATGTCATCCTTTTGTTTGCAAGGGACAGGTCCCATCTCAAGGTTTGCAGATAGATTCCGGGAAGGCTGTGGGGTTTTAATCAATGACATGGAAAAGTCATTATTATTATTATTATTATTATTATTATTATTACTATTATTATTTTTGGTCCCAGGGATTGAACTCAGAACCTTGCATGTGCCAGGCGGGTGATGGCACCACTGAGCTGAATCCCTGGGCCTGGAAAAGTTATTATTGAGTAATGGCTTTTTTCCTCAAAGGATGCATATTCTTGAACTTTTGGTATAAAAACACAATATTAAATGCTTGAGGAATAATAAAAAATTGTGTTTTGAATAGCTTCCCATGTGCAGAAGAGGTAGTTTTTAAAACATTTGAGGCTGGTGTGGCAGCGCACATCTGTTATCCCAGCACTCAGGAGGCTGAGGCAGGAGGATTGCCACAAGTTTGAGTCCAGCTTGAGCTACATAGTGAGTTCAAGGCCAGCCTAAACTACGTAGTGAGACCCTGTCTCAAAAAACTAAATAAAAATAAAAACATTTGAATAGAATTATATATCCAAGACCTTAAAAGTCACTTTTACTTAGAAAAATCCCAGGGTCTCCATCGGGAAAGCCCCAGGTCTCTCATATCAGTAATCGGCTCTAAAAATAAAGAATCCTGCTGTTCTCGGATTTTAAAAATGTTAAGTGATTAAAACTAAATGATTCAAATGAAGTAATCATAGGATCCCTAGGAACAGAAAAACATTTTTTAAAAAGAAAGCTAATGAAAGTTCTGGGTAGTGGGGAACCCCCCAAATGCAGTGGTGGGGAACCCCCCAAATGCGAACTGAGAAGCGTCACCCCCTGCGGTTCCTTGTCCCCGGGGGCGGGGCTGTGACCTTCCAGGTGGGGCGATCCGCCCCCAGCTGTCCCTCGCTGACCCTGGCTGGCCCAGGGCGCCCTGATCCGCTTTGGGTGATGATGCTGATGCTCAGGGAAGGATTTCCACGCATCTGCGAAAGGTTGTTAGGAAAGAAGCCCGCACCCCTGTGACCTTTCAGCGCATCGCATTTCCTCCGGGTGCAGACCCCACAGGAAGCACCCCCGACTGCAGACCCCACAGGAAGCACCCCCGACTGCTGACAGCGGGTCCTCCCTCTCTCCCTCCACTCGCGGGCGCCCCACCCTCATCCCAGCGGATGATGGGGCGCAGTCAGCTAGTCCCGGACCCGGGTGACCCGGCGAGAGGTGGGAGGTCGGGCACGGCCAGCCAGTTTCCCAGCACCGCTCGCTGAAGAGGAAGAGGTGATCTTTCCTCGCGTGAATGTCTTTGGCCTCTTTGTCAAGGATCAGATGCCCGGGTGCCTGGAGTCATTTCTGCATCCTTTATGTGGTTCCCCTGACCCACAAGTTTGCTTTTATGTCAGTACCACGCTGTTTTTAGTCAGTGTAGGTTTGTAGCATAACTTGATGGAGTACTA